TAATATTAACTCTTAAAACTGTCATTCACAAGATTTCGATTTTTCTGGTGGCAACTATTATGGAAAATAGAACAGTTACTTAACATTGAACTAAAAGACTACAGAAATTACTTGATTTATTAATCTCTAATTTAAATTTTTATCCATTTGTTCTTCGTGAAACAAAAGAATGTAGATTGAAGCAACCAAAATAGAATTGTTTGACTATCAATAGTAAAACATTTTAAAGGACTGAAATAATCTTTGTATGTAAATAATCACACTGTAGTGTGTGCTACTTATGTGGACATAAGTAGTATATGACGTTAATCGTGATCAGAATGTCTGGCAACAGAGAGGCAAAACGATTGAACAGTAAAAAATGGAAACAGGATGCAATTGGTATGAAAATAAAAGAACAATGAAGTCTGAATCATTTAAGACAGTCAATGGACATTTTGTAGATTAAGCATTTACTTTATGATTGTTATATTTTCTTAACAAATCCTGTAGTTTTGTGTCTAATATATTTGACTGTCCCCACTGGTGTTCTGTTCACTATCTAATTGTAAAAAAATTTCTTTGCAGGGTGTTCAGATGATTTATTGAGATCATGAACCGATTGATGTTAGACCACCATTGGAAACCTGGAAGTACTGGACGGCCGTTTCGTCCTTTGCGGGACTCCACAGCAGTGAGCATCCACGATCCCGCGAGCGGGATTCGAACCCATGGCCTTCAGTCTTGCGCGCAAACGCTTAACCAACTGGACCACTGAGCCGGCATCCAATGGTGATAGTTTCTAACATCAACCAATCCACGAAATTACGCGACCAACTTCAGATGATTACTAAATTCGAAATGTTATTACCATGGACAAACTTTACTGAGTATTCAACAACTTTTAGTTAACTAAATACAAATAATAAATGTTACGATCATTGTGTCGATAAATAAATCAATAAATATGGTTGGCTAGATTATTCAACTTTATGGTTGCCCTTTTTTTCCCAACACCCAAGAGATTAGGTTATAGAAATGAGTACATTAATTCTAGTAGCGAACTAACTGAAAGTGAGCGACGGAGACAGATAGAGGAAAACTTCATTGTAGTTCAACCACTGTAAAATGAATAACAGTATTTTTAAAAAAAACACAAAAGCAAAAAAGATGAGAATGAGTTTTTAAAGGTGTTACTCTTTCCTTTTTAATTTCCAGTATATTAAAATTTATATAAACATGTTCATGTAAATGGAAACATTTTGAATTTTTGTAAAGTACTTCATATGAGTAGTAAAACAATATTTTATGGTAACAGTTCAAAATGTAGTCTATCATGTTAATGTTATGAACATATATATGCATAACTAACTACCTAGCACACGTTCGAATATGCCGTGCATGTTATTTTTGCATTCTACCGATATCATCAGCTATGAGCCCAATTAGGACGAAACGCTCATCCTGGATTCCATTGCTAGACATCATCCATCTCTACTTATAATGCTTGTGACTTAAGACAATAACGTGGCAATCCGTACAGGATGTACATAAGCCAATACGAGACTGATCAATTACAGTCTTAAATAACAATAGGAAGATTAAAACAAACAATACAAAATGGATTTATATAATAAAAATTCTTATGAACACTTATGTGATCTTCCAGTATTTTGACTAACAATTTTAAAATATCAGAATCAGGTTGAACTGTCAGTCATGTAATAAATGGAGTAACGGAATCTTTGGGTTTATACTGAATGAAATGGGCAAGACCGCATTAAAATTGATATGACCAAATTTGTTATTTGCTCATTAAATAGAATTTCAAATCCTAACATAATATATTATGTAATATGTCAGAAAACGGAATCTTTCGTCAATTAATCGAATTTGAGAATGAAGAGATATATATATATTAGGACAGGGCGGCCTGCTTGAGCATCTGGGCTACCTGTTTCCTGCCATCTAGATATTTTAACAAGTTATCTATTTTTGTTTGTTTTAATATATCATTATGTCTATTTATCGCATAACCTATTCTGCTGCGCTTCTGAAAAGTGTACAACCTTTCGTTGTCAAAGTTACAAAAAACTCAATAAGAGACAATGTGGTTGCTGGCAATGTACAACGAAAAGAACGCAGATTATTCAGATGTTCATTTAGTGAACTGCTAACATCTAACTGACGATCACTCAATATTTATCGCCAGGACCTACCAAGAAGAAAGAAACGGAAACTTGTTGAAATACTTTGCGCTGAGAATTCTACATTATACCAAAAATATAATATTGAATAAAGCTTATAATAATAATAATTGAGAAATTGAAATGATCATAATTTTCAATGACTCCAATAAGTTGACAGTTAAACAGTAATTATTATAAATATAGGAACTTTATGGAGATTATTTAATCTTATTGGTTGCATTACTGATTAAGCTTGGTTAGATAATTAATAAAATCTAAGAAACATTCAGTAGCTATTTTGTATTAGTATAGAACTGCTCAGTAGTACTCTTTCATGATGCTAACATAATGGATTAAGTACAGAATATTCCAATCTAATGGCAAATGGTTAACCTACAGTCTACTGATTTGACATCAACTGTTTATATTTTTCATAATAATCAATTCATAGTATTGTTTAGTCATCTTCCAGTGTTATGCATCAATAACTGTCTCACACTAGAAATGGTTGAAGTCTACCGGAGCGAGACAAGTATTCAGTGTTCTTTTTAAAAAAATATATTTTGTCAATGGTTGTTTAACTAAGCTAAGTACGTAATACAAACTAATTAATTTGATTAACTACATATAACAATAACAGAAAAATCAAATGAATGTATTATTCCCCCTCCTCAATATTTAATTAAAACAAGCAATTTTCCTAATGAAGACCAATAATAAAGTTGATAAAATGATCTAAAAATATAGTCAGTCAGTCAGCTACAATGTAGGACTAGGTACATATATCCATCGGCCCAAGTTGCCACACCACATTAGCACAACAAGATGAACACCGAATTCATGAAAATAGTTACTTTAATGGTAGTAATATATAAAAGAAGGATTGTGCATAATGATATAGTACAAGAAGAAAGAATTAGTTCGTAATAAGAAAGATATAAAGCAATTTTAATCTTATCGTTTAAGGGCAGATAAAGAATGTATACACCTAAACCATTGTGATCGATTCTGAGCCATGTCACACAGAGTCTCTAACCATTGGTTATAATAGTCATGCGGACCTCAACCAAGTAGTCTGAATCTACCAAAATGGCTCAGATTAGAAGTTAGTGTCTTCAAGGACTGATGCCATGTTTTAGTTTGGCCGGCCCTAACTTTCTTACAACCATCTCCAAAATTAGTCATCATTGCGCGTCGTGGTAATCGGTGTTCAGGTATATGTAACACGTGGCCCAACCATCTCAGTCGATGAAGATTCACAATCTCATCAACTGATTTACGATCATTCCCTAATACCCTACATCTAACCTCTACATACATAGAGAAGAATATTAAAAATTACTAGAAATCTTTCCTATATTAAGTGTTATTCATGAATTAACAGTAATGTAGTCAAAATGTTCATAAATAACTTCATATTCAGTATTATTGTAGTAGCTTTATAGTTGTATCAAAGTATTAACTCTGTTCCATTATATTACATGTATTACATGTAAAAATGAATTAGACTTAATCAACAAATTTTTATCAGAATGAGTTTTGTGGGGATTTTAGAAATTTCACTGGTTAAAATCATGAGTCAATTGAAGCAAGATAACCATGGAACAACCTGGAAGCACTAGACGGCACTGCTGAGGAGTCCCATACTAGAACGAAACGGCCATCCAGTGCTTCCAGGTTTTCCATAATGATCTAGCTTCAATTGACTCATGATTTCAACCAACAAATTGTTGTTGTTGTTGTTGCTGTGGGGTTTACAAATTGTTTACCTGACATTTCATCAATCAAGCTATAAATTCTCATTTACTAAACCTATATAGATATATTAATGACCTGGTCAAATATTTAGGTCATGTACTTTTCAACTGTACATAGATTATAGTAAACTTTAATATTTTACATATGATTTGAACTGAACACTTTATAAATGTTAATTATGTGTACTTACAGGTTTGTTACCATGTAAAATAGTGAAAAACTCTAAATGAATACACTACACTATATGTATTTTTTAAAACAATAAATAACTAAAATATATTAGAAATGATAGATTTTATCATGCAAATGTTAAATAGAAACAAATAGTTATAATAGTTGAATTGTTAGGAAACTATTCTGATTGAAAATGATTAGTAGATATTATTGACTACTGAAAAGGTTTTTTCCTAAAAATATGAATACTTAGTTGAAGGAGGTTTTTTGTGTGGATATTATAGTAATTTTAAACAGTTGTGATCATGAATCAATTAAAGCTGGATCACCATGGAAAACCTGAAAGCAATGGACGACCGTTTCCTCCCAGTATGGGACTCTTCATTGGCAGAGTGGATCCACGATCATCCTACCTTGCGAGATTCGAACCCAGAATCTATTGGTCTTGCACATGAGTCCTTAACCACTAGATCATTGGGCTGGCTGGCATCCAATGGTGTTAATGTTTAACTTTAACTATTACATATTTAACAAAAATCGATTTTATTATAGTATAATCGGTGTGAAGAATAATAGATTGATATTCTTAAAGGATGAATTATATGACTAAATGAAACAAGACTCGATGTGTGGATCGAAATGAAATAGTACGTGTTTTTCGTTTTGGAATTCTACAAAAAAATGTCTTATAGAAAAAGAATTAAGTATTTTAATTAGATCAATCTTTAGTTTTACTTCAGTAAGGTTTAATGCTCGTCTTACTGAATCGAAAACATCGTCGGAATTTAGTTTTACTCCAGTTTACATATATATATATATATATATATATATATATATATATATATATATATATATATATATATATATATATATATATATATATATATATAAACAACTTACTGACTAATAGTTTTCCCCCACCAATTCTCTTTATGATGTAATATATCTGATTTTTTTGTAGTAGTATTTAATCTTATTCCATCATTATCTTTATGATATATTGATGTTATTGAATAATTTATAGGAGGTTCCATACATGATTTCATTTGATGTACACGCCAATTTCTACGTCTTTCATATAAACTATTTCCAATTGATTTTGAATTTATATTTGTAGATATAGTTGTCATAGTATCTACAATTGTAGTTGTAATATGAGTAGTATTTTCATTAGTAGTATTAATAGTTTCTAACATATTTATTTTTTGTTTTTCAGTGTTTAATTCAACATTCATTATGATTATGATAAATATAAATAAATAATCATAAGTATAGTTATAATATATATATATGGTGTTCACTACAATGAATTCACCTTAATATCCATTCTATTTAATTAATTCACTGTTTGTTTTGTTCTTTTAATATTTATATCTTGTTTATCATAAACATAATCCCAACTTTTTCTTTAAAAAAAAAACATATATATATATATATATACAAGGAGAACATTAAGCTAATTTGAATTGTGGATATTTACATAAACAAGTGTGTGTGTGTGTGTGTGTACGTGTGTATATGTATGTGTGTACATGTTTCCATGTATATATATGTGGCCATGTATGTAATTTGTGTAAATGAATGTGAGATTATTTATTATTTATATATATATATATATATTCACTTTATTTTACTGATTAAAAGAAAAAAAATATTGATCATAATTGATCGATTTTTTTAAAAATATATAAATCTAATGATTTAATTTGAAATTGATCTGTGTTTAATATAGTGCACAGAGCACATTTCAAAAATAGCCATTATATATATATATAGCGAGTGCGTGTGTGTGTGTGTGTGCGTGCGCGCGCGCGCGAGAGGAGAGATTAAATGATCAATTTATAGATTAGTATTTAATTATTCAATTTACAATTATTTGATTTATGCTCAAATTCTTATTGGATAATAATGATTGGTCAATTTTATTATTGTTGCTAATTCTCATTTGATTGGTTAGAATTATTTGAATGAATGAACAAATAGGTAAATCAGTAAATGAGTAAACAAAAAATAAATATTTTAACTTATAAATTGTAGGATTTATATTATGCAAAAAGGATTATTATTATTATTATTATTATTATTATTATTGCACAAGTTAGTTGATAAGTCTTGCGGATTGAATGTTATATTCGTCTCTTAAGCTATTCTGTAACCTCCCAAAGCTAGAACTATACAGCGACTTGAACACGAGAGAGAAGACGCAAACTATGCGAGAAGTAGTTTACTCTAAGGTTCATTTTAATACAGAAAATACAGGGTTTTTATAATATTTTAAATGTCCTTCGGTTGCTAGAAGATTCTGGAATGCTTATAAACATAGTAGCAGTGTAGCAGCTAACCAATCAGAGTCTCTGAATGTGACATTTCGCTTCTTTGATATTTCTGGCTAAGACTTCAAGTGGACGCTGATTGGATGAAACGCTTCTTAGTATTTCCTGATGCTTGCTCGTCTTTTTGCAAGCAATTTTCTAGATCACCCCAACACTAGTGGCCATCTGGACTCAGTAGCTGAGTGGATAATGTAGTGGAATTTGAAGCCGACAGTACTGGGTTCGAATCCTAGAGTGAACATCAACTTTGAGATGCAGGTACATCTAGCTGACGAGTCCCAAATTGAACGAAACACGTATCCTAGATCTTACTACTAGAGACTATCCATTTCTACTTATAATGCTTGTGAATTAAGACAATAACAAGACAATACACATAGTATGCATATATGCTTATAATGTTACTGATCCATTGCAGTCCTAAACATCAATGCGAAGATTCAAACAAACAGTACCAAGTGAACTTGTTAATATTATTATTATTATTGATCACTTATAGCCTTAAACAGCTAACGATGTAAACTCATTAGAAAAATTGGTAAGACGGGAAACGAATAGAGTGAAGAAATTTCTTTTCAATTAGTTTTTCATCATAGCTCTAAACTGATATATATATATATATATATATATGATTTAAAACTGATAGGTTCTCGGTTCGAATCTCGCGGGGTGCGGGATCGTTGGTGCGCACTGCTGAGGAGTCCCATACTAGGATGAAACGGCCGTCCAGTGCTTCCAGGTTTTCCATGGTGGTCTAGCTTCAATTGATTCATGATTTCAACCAGTGAAATTTGCAACTTATCGAACAGTTACGTTACGTGATAACTGCATAATGACGTAATGGTAAATAAATTTCCTGAACCAATGAAAAAGATAATGAATACTATGAATTATTTCATTCTCTGTTATCAATTACTGAATGGAAACATGCAAGTTTTTATTTCGATCAATGTTTTATAACTTTTCCTTCTTGTCAAAATAAACTTCTATAATCATAGAAAAAATCTAATCAATGTAATAATGAATGAAATTACTTACGTCTATTACTCTCAATCAAGCATAGATTGTCGACCAGCATTCTCCAACCCACTTTGTCCTGGGATTTCCTTTTTATCCAATTGTTGTTCATAATGAATGAAATGAACTATATAAATTACATTTTTGTAAATAAAGTTGCTTTTTTATTATTTATTTCTGTGGATTTCTACATCAGACAATTACTTAACTAGAAAATTAGAAGATGGTCGAACAATATTGTGAATTGATTAAAGTTAGCCGTATAAACTAGTTAATAACAACTCATCGATATAAAAGCCAATCATTCGATATGAAAATTGTAGGCCGTGAGTTCTATCTCGTAACAAGGGCTTTTATATAATATTTGTTACTAAAAAAAATACGAAGAAGATTCAATTACAACTTCATTTGATGTTGTTTACTTGTATTTTCCCATTATTATTTACGACTGCAATTGATTAGTCTCTTGTTGACATATGTACATCCTATGTGAACTGCCTATATATTGCCTTAGATCATAAGCTTTATAAGTAAAGATGTATAGTGGCTAGCAGTAGAATTCAAGACACACGTTTTCGTCCTATTTGAGACTCGTCAGCTAGATGTACTTGCATCTCAGAGTTGATGTTCACTCCGCAACTTATACGCACTATCGTTCACTTCCAATGCCATCATGTTATCCACTTAGCTACTGAGTCCTAATTCAATTATATCCAAGTTCATTCAATTATAAATTGACCAAATTCAATGTTTATTATTTACAGAACTTTTCAAACGAAACAATTGTTACTTAGATGCCAAACTACAAAGAATTGATACCATTGAATATGTTGAATTAATGAATACAAATGAATGTTGTGTTCAATAAAAACAATCACATTGAATTAATTCAAAGTCACTCAATTTCTGCATATTAAATTTTATTTAAGCACTTGACATCTTCGACAGAACGTAATACTTCTGGTTTGAATCTTTTTCTTCTTCTTCTTCTTCTTCTTCTTCTATCGTTTCTAAAATGTATTGTATTATGATCTTCTTAGAGATATCATTTTTAAACTACATTTCCAACAGAAACAGTTTCATAAATACTATCTGTACTTTCATATCAGTTTTTGTGTTGAGTCATAAATTTTATTAGGAATTTCAATATGCCATATCAACCAGACATATTCTAAATGAAAGATATTAAAGATCATATGATATTGGTCAAGATTTAGCTTAATTTTTCGAGGAAACAGATTTACTGTATTGATTGAAATTCTGAATTAATATCTTGAAAAAGATAGACACAAATTTATAGATGAGTTTGTGCATATATTTCGATTAGGGTTAACCCGTCAAAGCTCCTTACACATTCTTGATCTTTTTTTACCAAATTAGATAGTCCGAATTGTATATGGGAAGTGTATGTAACAGTATTAGACTAGGATGATTATAGAATGCAACCTATTTCTGTTCAGTAGGTCCGAAATAATGGGGATAATACAAACACTTAGAATCAGATTGTTGCCGTATGAATATTTTGATTAAGTCAGAGATATTATCATCAACATTTTTATTGTTTAATAATTACTATTTATATGTGGAAATCGTTTCCTTTGTAACTTGTTTAACGAATTGGCTTTAGATTCAGATCATCAATCGATCGATATTAGACCACCATTAAAAATTTAGAAGCAGTGGACGGACGTTTCTTCCCAGTAGTACGCATCAACAATCCTGCAGGCTGTACCCGAACCCAGAACCTCCACTCTCGCGCTTCCAGGTTTTCAATGGTGATCTAACATCGATCGATTCATGATCTCAATCAAAAACCTAACAATCTCCACAACCTTCATACTCAGAATCGGCTCTAAAGGGACAATCATTGAAAGATCTTGGAATAAAAGACTGGATGTTACAGAAAGTAAACAATAACAACACTCTCAATTAATTTAACGAGACGAGAGTTCATTTCTACATGAGATTGGATCTTGACAAGTTAGCTATTATTATTTTCTGCATCACATTCTAGTGTATTCTGAAAATTTCTGTTATGAATTCACTCAGTGTTGACATTTTTCAGGGGTAAAAGTCATTTTTAAGCTATAATTTTTTGAATACAAATATTGAAAAGGATACTTTTCCGTGAAATATATTCTACTCAGGAGCAGATCAAACTTACATTCCAATGTCTGTTTAATAGTTGAGAAGAAGAACAATTTATAATGCTGGACAACACTTGTTTCAGACTCGTAGAAGTACTGTTCAACGATGAACATTCAAAAACCTGCCATAGATTATGCTCAAGACCCTCAAAACACAGCGACTGGCTCACATTTTTCATTTCAGTTAATTTATGACATTAAGTGATCATCATTCATTTTTATTGATTCTTGTGCTTTCTGGTTATTTACTTATTGCCTAACTACATAAAATCAGTCCATGATTTAAAACTATAAATCACTAATCAACGTTACTCACTCTCTATTCAATAATTATGTTTTAATAGTCGAATTCATCAATCCATGTAAGCTAGGCCACCATTGAAAACCTGGGATCATTAGACGGACACATCATCTTAGTATGGGACTCCTCCAAAATCTCGTACGAGGGACTGGAACCTAGAACCGTCAGTCTCGCACGCGAACGCTTAACATCTTTACCGCTGACCTGGCATACAATGGTGTTAATGTTTAACTTCAATCGATCCATGATCTTGAGCAACGAAAAGACCGTCCAGTGCTTTCAGGTTTCCAATGGTGGTCTAGCTTACATTGACTTATGAATTCAACTATTAAAATCACTACAATATCTATGAAGCCCCATTCTAATAAATAATTGTGTTTTAATCCTAATTGAATCAAAGACATATAACGATAACTGTGAAGCGGTAGATGGAAATCATTCACCCAGTCTTCATTCAAATACACTTTAAATACAAATTCACCGGGAATGATTATCTAGGAAAATAATTCCACACCTATGTAAATCAAGTCTAAAATTTACGTAAATACATTCTAGTTTAATCAATTGATGTTCGACATAGTATTCACTGTAAATATAATTAAGTAATGCCGT